GCTGTAGATCAGTTCCAGAAGATGCCAACCAAACAACGTCGTCTACGAACAGCAACCTTCTCGTCTCGGAATCTCCTACGCTGACACACTCATCGCCTTGGCTGCGCCTGACTATACTATCCATGTACAAAAGAAACGGGGGAAGAGACAGAGCGCAGGCTTGGCGGAGACCAGTACAGACGCTGTAAGGTTTCCACTTAACGCCATTTACTGTGACGCAGCACCTGCGCTCAATATAGTGACTGGATGGCCCATAGCAACTGGTCACCGATCCTTATGTTTGCAGGCACGCCCATAGATTGTTGAACGGGATCGTGTCATAAGAATTCTCTAAGTAAACAAATCACATGTACACTCGATGATCTGATTCTCACGATTTCTCAATAATCTGGCGTAGATCGAATATCTGGTCAGATGTGCTTTGGCCGGGCCAGAGGCCACACCGTTCTACTTGTTTCTTGGAGTCACTTATTCGCGGCACTCCCATTTTAGCACCTTTCCCCAGAAGTTCAGTATTTTAATGGTCCAGTATTTGGAGCACTACAATAGCGTTCGTCCTTCAAAAGGGTACTACAAAGCTCGTTCTCCAGTCCGCTAGTGTCTTCCCAGTAGCCACTGCCGTTTGATAGACACATAAGTACATGTCTTGTTCGATTATTGCTTTGAGCACTGCAGGACGGATTTCATAAATTCCAGCAGCTGTTCCACATTTCAAACTTTTCACAGCTTGCATGCCTTCATCTAGAGAGATAGTAATATTCATTCCCTGCTGCCCTTCAAGTGAGTCCTCCTGCGATTGCTCAGGGTTAAGTTTTTCAAAGTGCTCTCTGCATCACCATTGAATGTCCTCATCCCCAGTAGGGCAGTGTTCAGACTTGTCCTTCAAGACTTTTAGTCTGCCCTTCTTTTCACCTCGGAGCCGGCGGATGGTCTGCCAGATTACCTTGTTTGCAATCCAGGAGATCGACTCCAGCGCCTCACCGAACTTCTCCCAGGAATCAGCTTTGACTTTCGCCACTGCTTTCCCTACCGCCTTGCGTGGTTCGACATATCGCATGTGAGTGAAAGGCTCTTTCCTTCCAAACCATTTTTTGAATGCAGCCTTCTCTGTAACTATCAGTTATACCTCGTGTCCACCAGGAAGTTCTTTCCTGACCTCTAGGCGGCAGGCTAACCCGTTTGAATACGCAGCATTCGGTGGGAGCCTCGAGTATGCCGTTCTTAAAGAGCTTCAACTCGGTTTCCACACCAGTGGTCATCATTGATTACTGTTCAAACCATCGTGCGATGTTGTTTGAAAGTTTAGTTCTCGTATCCACCGAAGATAATGTTTCCTATTTGATTCACTGGTTGCTTCTGCCACTAGTCCGTTGCATAGCACTCGATTTCCCACAGCGAAGTGTGCTGACAGCATAATGGTGATCGACTGACAGCTGTGCGCCACTAGTAACGCGAAAATCTGTTACAAAGCGTCGTAAATCAGAATATACGATTATCAAATCGATCATCGACTTTTGTGCACAAGCTTCCCTCTACCGGCTATGCTGATTAACTTTTGGACGCTCAAAGAAGTTGTTCGTAAAAGGTAGTCCGTTGTTTGGACAAAACCGCAACAGTTTCTTGTCGTTATTGTTGAAGTCGCTAGGGCCGTTCTTTCCAGTCACGCCTTTCCACTTTCAGAGTCTGCTGCGACATACGCACTGAAATCTCTCATGATAATGAGGGACTCCGTAGTCGACATTTCGTACAGGGCACTCTCCACTTCCTGAAGGAAGGACTCATTCTCCGTCAAAATTTGGCGTTTAGATCTGTAGCAAGCCTGTTGTAGCTTCAGTCAGATGATTGCCACTCTTCCGTTGGCAATCTTCGGTTCAGTGATTCTCTCAACCAGATTTTGTTCTGCTGGAAAAACAATACCGACTTGAA